CACTCTTTCAATCTTCTTAGGTGAGTGCATGTTGCTGTCTTTATGAACTTCTACGTCTTAACATCCTTAATTTTGTTCGAACTCATGTTTTGGTTATATGAGCAGACGTTCTTGCGCCAGAAGGTCACTCTTGCCTCTTCTGTCCCAAGCAACGAAGCAAAGCAGAATACACGAGACAAAAGCTCGCAAAGAGAAAGCTTCATACATGCAGACCAAACCCTCGGATCTAAATCAGTAGTAGATTCACCGGATGACCATGGGAAATTGGATGAAACCCATTTGACCGGACATGAAAATGGCTGTCCGGAGACTTGCAGCAAAACAGGGCAGAGCTGTTCAAAGGGCAAAGAATGCAATAACAGCTCCGGAGCTCTACGCTATGCTCTCCATCTCAGGTTTCTTTGCCCTTTACCGAGGAAAGCTTCAAAGTCGGAACGGAAATGCAAATCCGATGAAACTGAAACTACACCTCGAAAGAAAAGCTTGGAGGCGGATGGGGAGAGAAGATTCTACTTGTACAATGACATGAGAGTTGTCTTTCCTCAACGGCACACGGATTCTGACGAGGGAAAGGTATGAATGAAACTCGGTATTCTGTCCGTTTTTGTTCATTTTTTATGGTCTGATTGGGAAAACCGGGTTTTGAATGGTAGCCGTTGAACCAAAATCAAGCTTTGTAACATATAATATATGAAGGTGAGACACTGATTTTTGATGTTGGAACTGCAGTTGAATGTGGAGTACCATTACCCAGAAAACCCGAGATACTTCCACATCACCAGCTGAGATCTCTGCTTCAAAAAAAAATGATGTACGTTCTCGTTTTCGCTTTTTCTTCCCTTGCAAGAGTAAAATAAATGGTCATTGTTCATAAACAGAGTCTCCTGATCGTTTAATCTTTTGTCTCTAATCATCTTTCTGGTTGCCAAAAATGGCTCTGATCTGACCTCCACTTTGTACAGATTACGATTTGGCTATGGAATTTTTTTTTTTAAAAAAAATTGTTTTTGTCTGATTTCTTAGTTATTTTTATATTTCATTTGCAATTTTTATTTTAATTTAAATATATATTATTTGACTCGATTTGATTTTTATATTCGAATCGAAATCGGCATCCTCCTATTTCTTATTTATTTGTATATATATACACACAATATAATTATTATAGCCTTGGATATTATAATAAAAAGGACCTTAAATTAAAAATAACTTTTAAAATATTATGACATTGAAACACAAAAATTATGTTTAAAGTGCCAACATTATTAAATATTTAAAATTTTCATCTAATATGATAAAAATAATAAAATATCAGATGCAGAAAGGCGATCGAATTTAGTTACAAAAAAGGACAAAAAAGAATGAGTAAGCAGTTGTTGCGGCATCGAGGCTCTCCTACGCGCCTATTTTTCCGTTTGAGAAAAAAATGACCAAAACCTCTGACTATTTCGGCATCGTGGTGCTCACGCGCCCATAGTGCGCGTGGTTCTTTGACTGCGTCGGGAGGGGGCTCGCATGAATGCCCACGGAACTAACGATGGGCCTTCATCGGGATCGGGCCATATGGGTCAACTGTCAAACCCAATAGATCAGATGCTCGGCCCATGGGCCATCTGCTGGGCCCATTGAACATGAAAGTAGAATTTCATCGGCTAAAAAACATAAGATTGTATAAAACGACAATCGAATCGTGTGATGATGATTCACTACAACAAAACAATCATTCGCGAATCTTCATATTCGTACCTGCAGGTTAAAATGGGAATCTATCCATCCACGCTATATATGAAATGTAATGAAAAAAAGAACTGAACCGTTACAAGTAGGCGCCATCACATCATCTCCACCTCCGATTCTGTTTCTTTTTCTCTCTTTATTATTTCCCCCCATAAACATACAACAAAATTTCGAAATACGACCACATCCAACCAAAAACAATCATAAAAATACATACACATGAAATGAGAAGAATCAGAGATCAAAGGTTTGGACAAGGGAAGAGAGGCCATGGGAGGCTTGATACAACAGCCTCGACATCAAGTTCCTGTAAGGGTCAGACTCTCGTTTGGTCTTGAGATAGGACATGTAGTTTTCTACCTCTGACTTCACATGAAAGTAGAGCTCCTGCGCCTTCTCCTTGTCCCTCAGCTCTTCCTCTTTACCTTTTGCAGAGACAGAGATGTCATAAACCGAAGCAATGTGGCCGGACCGAATTGTGTATGCAATACGTACCTGCAGTTTCTATTGGTTTACCAAAGTAATAATAGAATCGGCCGGGAATCTTGGGCACCATAGCTGGGAAATACAAGTCTTGGTTTCCCAATTCGCCTCCTTCATCGCCCCTATCCACCATTACAGACAAAACCAATCAACCAATGTTGTCTGAAATCATGAGAGAACCCAACAGAAAAAGAGTCCAGTGAAGCACACCTCACTCTGACAGTATTGTTCGATAGCTCTTTGATAAGATCTTTCAAGAAAGGCATCTTCATTTGATCGTTGTAATCCAGTACAACCTAGACACCAAATCATCCAAGACCATGAATGGATAATCTTCAAGAGTTACGGATTTAGAGTGCGAAGAAACTTACCTCGCAGAGATCGTCTTCTCCGACAACACCGAAAGGAACAATCTTGGCTCCGAATCGAGACGCGGTCCTCACAAACTCCGGATGCTCTGGCCAGAACAACTTGTATTCTTCACCCTGCAATACCCGGCACATGTTAAAACAAGACTGTTACCGAAAGAAAAATAAAAAAACGCAAAGTTTCTTTCTCTCGGCGGCGAGAAATGAAACACCTTTCTATGCAGAGCTTCACGGGCACCTCCAGGATACATGAGGACGTGAGACTTTGACTGGAGAAGTTTGTAGAAGTTGAAATGCGAGACAGGAACCGAACCCATTAACCTGATTGTGTCGAAGGCCTGCAGCTCAGGGAGCATCGAGGCTCGTTTCCCCCGAAACATCAACGGATGCGCCATTCCACGCAACAGAATGTTCCTCTCCTTGAGGATTTGGATCACAAGTGGATACAACTCAAATCCCAGCAACATGTGATATCCAACGTACAGGACAGGTCCCTCAGAAGGTAATCCTTCAAGGCCCCTTACTAGCTTTCCATTTTCCAGAGTTGAGAGCATTACAGGGGAAGTAGCATCCATTATCCATCTGATCCAATTGGGAAAACAGAAATGGATTCCATCACACTCCACTTAGCCTGTGTTTACCCGTCACGCGATCTATGAGAAGAGGGTAGACATCTGATGAGGCATTTACCTATATCGCTCAGCCTGTTGTTTGAACTCGAAAGGAGTTGGTGGGAAGTAATCCGAGATGTAATCATGAGACTTCCCACGGCGATAGAAAGAGGAGCCCTTTATGATAGTTACCAGATTTATGTCATCCTCCTATCACGAGACATTAAAGACATCAACTCGGTTATGCTTTTACCCAAGTTCCAGATGTGTCTAAACCCGAAAAACTTATCCAGTTACCATAGTTTGGTCTGATGTAAGTTATGTAACCAACGTGAAATTGTTAGCATCCATTCAAAACAGGTACCAACTGCATTAATATCTGAAGCTAACTGTCATCCTTTTCGGCGTCTCATGAAGAGAAAGAACACTTACCAAGAACAGAAAATGTCCATTTTCCTTGAAGTTACGGACTTCGCATCTCGGCAAGACTTGACTTCGTCTTTCTATCTCTTCCTTGTTCACCAGCCAATGACCAGGTCCACTGCAATGGTCATCCGTAAATTTTCAAGTTTTACACCTAGCAGCCAGTTGAGACAATTCTTTACAAGACACAGAGACTTCAGAAATCCTGGGGCTAGAATAGATTACACTCATTAAAAGGAGAAGCTCATGGACCTGAGAAGTATCAGAGTTTGAGCTCTGACTGCGTTCATGTGAGAATTTGCAGATGCCGAAGCAGATTTAAGCATTTCCAGCCTCCAGAGAAGTGTGTCCTTGGTAAAGATCCTTGCCAGAGTCTGTAAATCAATTTCTTTTACGGGCGTTTGTCCAAGAGAAGGAAATGAGCAAGAAAGAAGGCATATTACTAGTTATGGACTGTGGACTGCAAATAGAGATCAAGCCTTACAGGCATAAGAGCTGAAGCTGCGAAGAGGTCTCCAAACAGCCCCCCTCCTATCCGTTGAAGAGCAAATTCATTTGCCAAACTGCCAATGCTCGCCCTAAATGGACCACCTGTGTGTACAGGAACGGACAACAATCATGTGGGCTGGCCAGGGTAGAAACTCAACCTTAAAGCAAGTCTCAGTCAACCAAGAACAACAAAACCATGTTTTATTTGATTCAAGTCCTCACAAACCTATTACAGTTGACTCTCCATTCTCCAACGGCAAATTAACTTTGGAGAGTTTTAAGGATCTACGACTTAAGCTGACACTGAAAGTTTGAAACACAAAGACCTAGTATTTGCGACAAAAGGCAGATATACCGACTGAGAGAGATCTAGACCTTTGCATCAAACAAATTTTGGGCACCTGACCATTAGTTGCTCGATATCAAAAGATAGAACGCGAGAAGAACAGAGAGTCTACCATGCTTAACCCCAAATATTTGATCCATCAACGTTGAAACTCCGTCAGGCAAAAATTCCAGTAGACCCGATAGAGGTTGCAGCATGAAGCTGTTGAAATGCACGGCTGCGCAAAACAATGCCCGTCATTAGAAAACATGCATTGCAGACTTTCATGGACTCTCCCTGCACCGATAGCAAAATCTAAAGAAGAGCATACAATAGAAAAATGTCATGGAAAGTGAATATTCCTCTTAACCTGGATTAGCTAGTATCAGGACAAGATCAATATTAGGGTTCCTGGCCGCAACATCTAGTGCCAGACATGCTCCAATAGATTCTCCAACTAGATATATCGGCCTGTCTGGATAACGGTGATTCTCTGACCTAACTGTCCTCTCAATAAGCTTAACCAGGTCTGAAAACGGCAAAATAGGAAAAGGTTGTTCTCATCCATTTCCTCGTAAATCTGAAACGGGACAGGTCAGAATGCTGATAAAGAAGCACCTTGGACAGGAGTCCGATCCATGACTGGTATATGAAGGCACCATACGTCAAACATCCTACAGCCAAAAGACAATGGAGCAAGAAACCACCATTTAGAAATCCAAGTCCAGATTTTTCTACAGTGAAACAAATTCCATCAACCCCAAAACATTTCCTAAACATCGGCATCTTCCAGAAGCGATAGGTATTAGCAAAATTCTCAAAGAAAGAACCGACATGAAAGAGACAAAGAACCAGTTTCTTGGGTCTGAAGAAATTGATGCATCCTATGGACCAAGGGAAAAGCTGGTCCCATTACGCAAAATTTCCAATTTCCATGGCCCTGCTGTGGCATCAGAAACAGAAGCCGACATGTCGCAGAACGCAAAAGCTTAAATGAACTTGCAAAAATACGTACTCTCCAAGCCTTCTGTGATGGCGAATGAGCCCTAGTCCAGTTCCATCGATTCCTGCAGTTATGTTTTTCCTGAGATTTGTTAAAGATTTTCACAGCTTTAGAGAGCTCCATTGTTCTAAGTCACGAATCTTTCGGTACTTTAAGATGGCAATAATTACAAAGATCTTCTTGTCCTTTTCAACTTTTAGATGTCTCAATCAAAAAAGGATATCATCTTCAGACATTAGTTCCACTCAGGTTCTGGTCAAGAATTTTAACTGAGAGAGAGAGGGAAAAAGCAAATATTGTTTGGAGTACGAACCAGGCAAGAAGAGGAGGAGAGGAGAGCCCGGAGCACGCGCGCCGCACTCCAACGGAGAGAACCATCGCGGCGGACCTCCGTCGCCGCCGCCGTCTGATCCGACGAAGCCTCTTACCTCCTCCAGAATTTCCGCCAGGCTCTTCCGCTCCTCCGGCCGCGCGTGATCCGCGTCGGCGTACGGATTCTCTGCCGCCGCTGCTGCCACCGCACTGTCGTTTTCCACATCCTTCTCCTGCCGGAACCGTCCGGCGCTCGTCGGGAAACTCGCCGGGGGTTCCGCTCCGCACCTCGGCACCACGAGGCAATTTGTGGAGGGGGAGGTCAGTCGAAGAGTCGACTTCCAGTGGACGAGGTGGGAGTTGTGTACTCTGCCAGTAAGCGAAGACAGGACCGGAGAGACGCCACCGGGGAAGGAAACAGGGGTGGTGGCCGCCATGGGAGAGAAGCACCAGAGAAAGCAGAGGAGAGAGTTCGGTTGGGTATTTCTCTGTAGAGCTGAGTCGAGCACGACGGGCTCGTGTCCTAAAGGTCAGCACGAAATTCTCCCAGATCTCTTTCTGGGCATTAGTGCATAATATAATATGCAAAAAAAGTTGTAGAAATAATTTAAAAAGAAAAAGAAAAAAAACCGAAAAGTACCACTTTTAAAAAATTCCAATTTACAACTTAACTTATTTGAAAATTCAAATTAACGCCTAATTAAAAAACATCTATAAAATCTTGACTGATAAAAATCATCAATTTAAAACCTATCATATCAAAGTCAAATAAAACATGAAACTTCTATGTTCAATTCAATATTAAATATATTTCTAGTTAATAATAAGTCGATATTATAAATATAGTTTCAATATATTAGGATTGAAAATATAAAATAACAAATATAACGATTTTTTACTCTTTTTTTTATAAATAATGAGATTTTTTACCTTTTCTTTATAAATATTGAGATTTGTTAATACATGTGGGTATGTTATTTTTTTTAATTGATGAACATATTATAACTATATTTTAAAAAATAATTTGAATTTCAATTATAAATTTATTAATATCATTTAAAATCTTACATATATAATTCTATATCATTTTATAACATTATTATAATTTTTTTATTGATGATTAGAATTTTAAATGGATGTTTATTAAAATTTAATTTTTTATATCTTAAAAGTACTATTTATGTGGATCTATAATTGAACATTTGAATAGTAGATTTTTTTAAAATCAAAAGTGTTTTATATTTTTATCTTTAAAAATTGATCCAACCCTATTGGAAATTTGATAACTCTATTCTTTATCTAAAAAATAATTCTTCGTAGTATTTAGGAAACTGGGAAACTTTATAGCTTAACTACTAGGGGTGGCCATTTCGATTATTAACCGAATAACCAAGTCGAACCGAACCGAATAAGATATATCCGTATCCGAATCGAACCCGACATCAAAACCGAACGGTTATGATTTTCTTAAATTCGAAAAATCAAAACCGAAATAGAACCGAACCGAATAAAAAATAACCGAAAAAACCGAGAGAATAACCGATATTTTCTTTGGAAAATTGAACTTTTTACCAAAACCGAACCGAACCCGAACCGAAAAATAACCGAACCGAACCGAACCAGAATTTATATAAAAACCGAATGATTATAGTTTTTCTATAACCGAAATAACCGAACCCGAATATAACCGAACTGAACCCGAACCGACACCCGAATTGGCCACCCCTATTAACTACAAAGAAATCTCCATAATATTTGGAATGGATTTTAGTTTGGAGATGGAAAACGGAATGTCGAGTGATTCTAATGTCCAATTTTGTATTTTTCTCAACGGAAACATGGAAATGAGATTAATACTTTGTCACAACCCAAACCATGCATCGCATATGTAAGGTTGGTGTCTAAATTAAAATCGAAAATATTTTAAAATTTTATCTGAATCTAACAAGTTTATAAATAAATTCTGTGACAAATTTAATGATATTTTCGTTTATATACCTAATGTTGATTTTGTGTGTGTGTGTGTATATATATAATTATGTATAAAACCGATATATGAGAATATTTGGTTTTTAAAAATAAAAAATTGATCTCAAACTAAAGAATAATTTATTTTTATTATCTTAACGTTACCCAACTCAAATAATTTAAATACCAGCTGTTTTTATGTAAAGAATCGAATGCAATTTGCCAGCAAGCTAGCAAATTAGAAATAATGTTTTTTTTTTTTTTTTTCAAAGAAAAATAGATGATGGAAAACCAAGACATTGGTTGTGGTTGGTGTCCAAATGATTAGGGTTAGGCCCAACCTTACATATTATCCACTTCATCAAACAAGGCTTTGGCCCATTTTCTCTATGCCACGTGGCGATAAACAATTGGATACAGACTGTGCCAAAATATCTTTTCCCCAATCCCCAGTAGCATTTCATCGATCCACGACTTTGTTTATCCCAAGCCGGAGAACTATATTTTTTTCTTACCAAAAAAAAAAAATGAGCTACGAGAAGGTCCCGCAGGGGTCGTATCCCCCTCCAGGTTCGTAATCTATATCTCCGATCATGGTTCGCTTTGATCCGAGTAGTTGCATCGACGATTCCGTATTCTCTGATCGGTGCTGATTTTTATTTTGGGGGGGTTTTGGATTTAATTCCGGTAGGATACGCGCCTCCGTATCCGCCGCCGGGATATCCGTCGGCGCCGCCGCCTCCGCATCATCACGAGGCGTATCCTCCGCCGCATTCTCATGGATATCCGGCGTATCCACCGCCGTCGTCTCGTCCTCCTTACAAAGGCTACCAGGGGTACTTCGCCGGAGGTTATCCGCCTCCTCCGCCTCCTCCTCCACAGCATCACTGCCACCATGATCATCATTATTACCAGGATTCTGACACTGGTTGTACGTCTTTTCTCCGTGGCTGGTGCGTGCGTCTCCCTATCTCCCGCCTCTTTCGTGATCTTTTAGATCTACTTTGTGTGTTTCTTTTTTTTTCATTTTTTTTTTTGCGCTGACCCAATTCTGCTTTCCTCGTCAATCATTCTAAGTAATTTTGTTGGCGTCATTCTCATCTGGAAGTTTTGTGTCATGCATTTTCGAATCTGTTCCAATGGTGAGTGATCTGTGACATCTTAGACTGAAAGTTTCAGTGTAAAAGAGAAATAGGGATTTGAAAGAGTCGTCCTATTTTTCTCACTGAATCCCTCTTTTCGGTTCGTCACAATTCCTATTTGCTTAGTTTTACCACCAAGAAACCCATCCCTCATCCCACGAGTGGTCGTAGAGCAATTTCTCCCTTGAAGTGGGCTTTTACAGAACAAAGTCTCGACCACAATTAACAACTCTTTTTCCATTCCATGGCTGACTACTCTGTGTTATGTGTTTCCCTCTACTTAATTCCATTGATATTGAATTGCTGATTTTGAAAAAAATGCAGTCTTGCTGCTCTCTGCTGCTGCTGTGTGCTGGAGGAATGCTGCTTCTGCTTCTGAGGGGGCTTGGGTCGCTGCTGCTTATGCAGAAAAGTTGCCACCTTTTCGACCCTTTTCCGCCATATTTTTTTACAAATTATATTCTGTTGTCAATATGAACTATATATTTGTTGTGGTTTTATTGAGAATATTCTCCATTGTCTCTGTGCATTTCCTTGCTTTTAGTTTTCTTTTGTGCTATCAATCATATGTTTCTTTAGATGTCCCCCGTTTGCATGAAATATGAATCATCAGTCCTTTAAAGTATTTCCCGTTTATATGTGTGTGTGTGTGTTATATATATGCCCGCTTCTGGCTTCTTCTTCTTTCTCTACTTCCTTTCGGCTTTGGAACTTGAAGTATGTTACAAATTGGGACGATATATATGTGTGTATGTATAGACGGGTCTAGTGTTTGGATTCGTTTAAAGAAGCATTTTCCCATTGTTTTGGATCCTCTCGAAAGTAAGGCGTAGTCATTGAACTAAAAAAAATGCCAATAACATCACTGGAAGAGTTGTGTTCTAACAAAGCAAAGCACAACCTGAAAAAGAAAAATAAGATTTCATTGAGTAACGGAACTAGAGAATCCACACGTACGGTGGAGCGTCTTTCCTCGGCCCGACCACCGTCCGGTAAAGGTACATCTTCTCCACCACCTGCTTTCCCTCGTCACCCTCGTGTCCGTTCGGATCCACTCGGTTCTCGTTCTCGTTTATTATCTCTACGTTGAGCCTCGGCGCCTTGTTCGCGAGCCTCTTGCAGCCGCCTAGCGTCACTTGGCAGGACGACATCCAAAGGGATCGCATTGTTTCGTACTTCCCAACGTCGGCCAGTAACGCCTCGTTCCCGAACGGGCTATCCCGAATCTCGAGTTTCCTCAGCTTCTTGCATCCGTTCAACACGGATACCATCCCCTTGTCGGTGTCCCCCGCAAAAGCCACCGAGAGCATCTCAAGCTGTTCGGCGTACATCCCGATGTAGTGGAAGACCTGGTCAGTAAGTAGACCCGAGAGGGATAGCCGGGTAAGACCCTTGCAGGCCTTCACAATCGCTCCGAAACCCTCATCCAATGGCTGAGATGTCACGGGGTCGGGTTTGTTTGGCTCGAGTATGCATAGCCTGAATCTGATGAAGTTCGGACAGTTCTTGGCCACGGTTTTGAGCGCCGCATTTGTCATTTGCTTGCAGAAGTACAGAATCGAATGAAGCTTAGGGCAACCGGCGGAGATCGCGACTAAACCTTCTTCGGTCACAGCCTCATTGAAACCGCCAAGGAAATCCGACGGGAAAACCCTAAGTTCCTGTAACTCTTTGCATGTCGAAGCTAAGACGGCTAGCCCTATATCGCCTATACTATCCAGTATCTGCAGATTTCCGACAAAAGAGTTACGTGTTAACCTCGCAAGTTCGTTTCTTGTCGAAGGATCGATAAAGTCGTGAGTAAAACAAACAGACATACCCATAACCGTTGAAGTTTCTTGCAATGCTGAATAAGCTTTACGAGGTAGCTGCCATGGATCTCGGCTGTATAACTTAGATTCAAGGAGACAAGGTTATGGCATATCGGGTGGAATCCCGAGAGGCAGCGGGGAGAAGCCTCAAGAAAGCCCGACAAGCTCCGTAACGAAGTGAATTTCCGAATGGCAGTCTTGAGTTTGGCATAGGAATCGGAAGTCGGGTCGTTCACATACGACCCTACTCCTAAGTCCATGAGCTGAGGAGCGCTCGTCATTATCCTCGCGAGCGCATCGAGCGGCACTGCACGGTTGAGCTTCAGGCTCTTTAGGTTGGGAGATCTTGCAACGAGCCTCTCTAGAGCCGACAAATTGATATCTCCTTTGAGGCATGCAAAGTTCAACGAGGTAAGGGATGTGGAGCTGTCGGGAAAACAGCTCAGCCATTGACCTCTGTTATCATCAACCTCATTCTCGTGCAAGTCCAGCTCCCGAAGATGCCTGCAACTAGGACGAGAATCTATAAGCAAGCAATTAACCAATCTAAAGCCTCATCCAACGTTTCAGTGTGATAAGAACACGTCGATTTCGAATCCATTGATAGCAGGTCAAATTTTCCATATATAATGTACAATTTGGTGCCCGAAGAAACAAGCGATTACCTGCAATTGGCAGCAATGGCGGCTAAGCCATCAGTGGTAAACCCTTCACAGCTGACAAGAACCAACGACTTGAAATTCACGAAGGAACGCGAAAGCAGCTCCAGGCTCTCGTCGGACACCACCATCCGCTTCAACCTCAGCTCCTCAAGCCCCACGCGGCTTCTCGCCAAGGCCTCGATCCACGGGTGGACAAAACCTCCCCAGTCGTGAGGAACCAAGTTGAAGTCAGCGAAATGAGGCTTCCCTTTCAGAACTAACGACTTGAGGCACGGAAACCTCCGTATCACCCTCTCCGGGTTAATGGCGTAGCAGTTGCCGATGAACACCTTCCGCCTGCTGTACCTCTCGATCTTGTGCCACGATTTGCACACCGTAGATATCGCGTTCCTGTCTCTGTGCGACGTTATGAAGTCGAACACGTGCTCTATGACCTCGTCAGGGAAATAGTTCATCTTTCCCTCTCTCAGGCACATAACCCTCATCCGAATCCCCAGAAAATTAAGCCGGAAACTTGAAGGGAACTCGTGAATTTGAACTTCAGACCAGTGGAGCTACTTAGGAGAGCGAGATCCAACACTATTGAAATAGAAAAACAGAGATACCAGATTCCACCAGATCCTCAGCTCAAGGAAATTCACCGGAAACTAAGAGGAGACTCGTGGGTTTTACTTCCGCTCAGCTCGGTGGACCTAAGTAGACAGAGCTAGAGATCCAATAGTGTCGGAAAATTTTTAGATAGCGAACTGGAAAAACAGAGAGATTCGAGATTCCAACAGATTCTGAGCTCTAGAAACTGAACATGGAGGGTGAGACTTAGATCTACCGGGAAAACTACAAACTAAACTGCCAAAGTTAGATCTACAGAATGGATCGAAGAACTCGAATCACTCCGACAAAAAAATGATGATGGATTCTGAACAAAAAAAACAGCGAAGATGCTCGAAGAGACGATCGTATTCAAGATCAAAATAGAAATCGTGATGATCAGAGAGAAGAACGTTGAATATGATCGAGAATCACAGATCCGGAGAATCTGAAAATGCTGCCATAAACGGAAACTGCTTCGTCCTCTGAAACCAAAAGAGAGTAAGCATCAAAAAATCAAAATCAAAATCAAAATCCAATGATGATGAGATGATCAGAAGCTGATGAGGGAGATCACGCAAGCAAAGCAAAAGCCCAGCAACTCTCTCTCTGATCTCTCTCCTCCCTGTTTTTCCCTCTCTGATCTCTCTCCCTCAGTCAGACGCTAAAAATGAAAATAAGAGTTGAACCGAACCAGGAGAGAGAGGGGGCCCACCTGGCTGACCGGAACCAACCATGGTTGAGTTAAGTGTTTAACCGTGGTTACGATACTTGGTGGGGATGATCCAACGGTGCAGAATGGTCCGAGGGAAAGAAAGACAAGGAATCTTGACCGTTGAAGGCTATGGCATTGGCATGCATGTGTCCTTGTCACTGGTTACGAGGCCATCCGCCAAAGAGAGGGGTTCCTATTGTAAGGATAGAGTGAAAGCCCTCTCTTTTCAATATAATTACGGATATTGCCACGTACCATGTTACTATACTCCAGTAGCGAGTAGAGGACGATATATATACTCGCCGCGCGTTGGTCAGTAGTTACTTTAAATAAAAAACTAGACATGGTTGGAGTTTTAAAATTTTAAAATAAAATAAAAATTATCATTAAAATTTTTTATAAAATTATTATTTTTTAATTTGACGAAAATCTATTTAAATTCAAAATTTTTCAAATATCTATACGAATTATTAAAATTAACAATAATTGTATATATAATCAAAATTTTCGTTAAATTTTTTTGGATTCTGTAAACTAATACATTAGTTAGATAATTACTATAACTATCATCCACATCAATGTATTAGCTAACAAGAATCCGAAAAATTTTAACGAAAATAATAATTATGTACGTAATTATTATTAATTTTAAAAATTCGTGTAGATATTTGGAAAATTTTGAATTCAATTAACTTTCTAATTAAACCCTAATTATGCAGCAATTAATTAAATAGCTAACTTTTGAAAGAGGAAAGCTGGCGAGATTTGTCCGGTAATGAGGACAGGTCAGCATCGGTGGAGATAGCTTAGTCATAAGGTGATGACGTGTTTTATTTATTTTATTTTACTTTTGACAAATAATCCAAAAACCAATCGAAGAAGACATATCGAGTTGAATACGAGAGGGGAGTGGTTAGGAGGACGACCCAAAATCATTTAAATAAAAAAAAACACAAAAACATGATAGGAAAAAAAGGTTATAATATAATATTAATAGGGCTTTCATAATCAATCAATTATAGACCCACTTGCACATAATTACAAAGGGGGGAGAGAAGAGAGAGAGCGCACACCCCATTATTGGTGAAAGTGAGAGTCACTTAAAGCTTTACTGTTTCGAGTTTAAGACACAAAAATCGGTGTAATTGGTAAGTAAAATAAATATTATTGTGTCATTTAAAACAACCATAATAGATCTATAATTTTATTCAAATTATTTTAATCGATATGGAAAGTTTTCTATAAGCTTTTTCCGCCATTGATAACTATTGGTTTAGGAAACATGATAACTAATTTGCCACTACTATATATATACACACACACCAATTGGTCACAAAAGTTACAAGTAAAATTCCACAACAATTGGTTTGTACATTTTTTAAGAAGATTATTAGTTGATTCAAACAAAAATACAAGTATAATAAATGACATTTATATATATATATATATATATATATATATATATATATTGTGTGACTAGATTTGTGTAAAGAGGAGTGATGATTTGCATGTTGTTGTTGTGGATAGGTCCCCCTTCTTGGCTCATCATATGCCAAAATGGCAGCCATGTGAAGCCCACGACCCATCTCTCTCTCTCTCTCTCGTGTATATATACATACACATGTATGTGTTGATCGTCTATAATATAATTATCGGCTAAAACAACAATTATGCAGTTTTTTAGATGATTTGATTTCAGAGATAATGGTTGAATTATTGCGTTTTAACTGTGGCAAGCAAACTGCGCACACACACACACACATATATACATATATATATATAGAGAGAGAGAGAGATTCTTTCTCAGATGAAGCCAAAGCAAGAAGGCATGCCTCATCATGACGCATGTCTCGTTCTCTATATCTTCATCTCGGTGGTCCTCATCCTCCAGTAGAACCAGAAGAATGCCTGCTTCTGTGGCACACCACACTCTTGCATATACATACAACACATGCACATATATACACATATGCACATACATACATGATACGTATGACAGGACATAAGACACATATCACTGTGTTCTGACATAGTCCCAAGATGAGATGATGAGGAAACGTAAGATATGTCCCTTTTCACTGTCTCCCCCACCTTCAGGTGGTCCTTCTTCCACTCTTGATTTTTTGTCTATCTATTTCATAAAAAAAAAATCACAATATTCCCTTCTCAAACACTTTAAAAAAAAATTACTATACATTCGACCCAACTATATCCATCCGATATGATAACATTTCTATAATTAAATTGCATATTTTCTCTCCACTCGAACCGAAAAACATATAATACCCTAACCACACTCTTATAACCGTTCGGCCACGACTTTTTGGGTAGAATTTGTAATTTTTCTCTTAACAGATCGATTTAATTTTATTGAAAATTTTTCGGATGAATCCAAATAATCTGTCACGAATTTGGTTCTGGATACGAATGGTTGACAAATGACACTATCGGACAAAGGATGGTTGCGATTGATAACTAGATTTTGATGATCGGACAGCTACTTGACTAATTGTTGGAATACGAAAGCTAGCTTCTCCAACAATTTCGTACGTGAAAAAAAAAATATATTCATAGTTGGCTGGCAAGTAAATGCCATGTGACAACATTAGTTATACCGATGTCAAATGATTTGCTTATCAGACAGCGATATTAAACAAAACCGAACCCATCTAAATCGAATAATGAAAATAACCGTTATCGATTTAAATCGATTTCGATTAAAAAAAAATTAAAAGTTATAAATTCTCTACAACTGAAAACTCTATATATAAGAAACTAATCGAAGAAAAAACAAACCAAACAAAAAAAAAATATTTAGAAAATGGACATTTTTTAGTAATAAAAAATGCAACTCAAACAAAAATTCAACCGAATTCCATTCAATATAATATATCTTTTTTGAAACCGAACTCTAAACCGAAATTCCATATGTTATCCAACTAAACTGGTTGATCAAGGCCCATATAGATTGATGTCCAAAAAATTCAATATAGTTTCTGAACCGAATTTCGAAATTCTCGAAATCGAACTGAAATTAAAAAAAAAAAAAAATCAAAAACCGATTTTTAGAACCGAACCGAATTCTCGGAGGGAACCACCGAATCGTCCACCCTAACAAAATACAATCTCTCCGGTAGATCTATCACTTGATCTCTGAGGTAATGAAGAACGAAACGGTAAAGCTCATCCATGGCCGCCTAATGACACACCTAAAACTTGCCCGAAGCGAGCAATTTCAAGACTAATGTTACGGATCTAGAGGGGAAACAAGGATATTTAAAGATTAGGGCAAAATGAGTTGAATTGCCCAATTCGATATTTAAGCATCGGAGATAGATACCGCAATGCCACAGACCAGTGAATCAAGGACGGAAATCTCCAGTAGCGGGGCACTAACCTTGCCTACATTCGAGCGTCATCGTCGTCGTCATCTTCGTCTTCGATAAACTTCCCTTTTACTTGATAGTCTCTCGTAACGTCTTTCCCTTTCCTGTCGACCTCAACCCTCGAGATCGGCGCATCCGCCACCGATTTCGCCTCTTTCCGCTGCAGAGCCGGCGGCTTTTTCCGGCGAACTCACGGAATCTGTCTCGTTATGGCTGAGCCTTCTCGTTTGCGTAATCCAGAGATTTCCACATTTTTCTCCATCTCTGGATTCGAGGTCTTGGCAGTATAGATCCAGCTTCCTCTTCACCGGAAATGGAGGCTCCTGTTGGCTTTCCAACTCCGCCATGGATGGTGGATCATCCGGTTGGATTTCTATTCAAAATCGTTTTTTATCTATTATTTATTTATTTTGTTCATTTACATTTTTTTTAATTATTTTTATATTAATTTAAGTTAGACTTTTAAAAAATTATATTCCTCTAATTTTATATTAAATAAAATCCAAATCCAAACATCTTTATTGAATTCTGGATCATAGTTTGTATAATTAAACTGAAATTACAAAAGAGATTGGAGGCAACAAAAAAGAAAAGGGAATAATCCAAACAAAGGCTTGTGTTTTAAAAAAAAAACCTGTGGCTTGATGAGAACGTGGCATGAAGTATTTAGGGGAGGGTGTGGGAGACTGTAAACCGGAATCCGGTTTACTCGATGAACAGATCCGAGTTCCGAGATAGTATAAAAACCGAACCGGTTTACAGGACGGCTGTAGAGAGGGCTGAAGACGAACTCTCCCGCCGTGATTCAGTTGAAGCACAGATTGATTGTTTCGAGAGCGAGAAAGTAGACGGAGAATCCATGGCCTCGAGATACTGGGTGGCCTCTCTTCCAGTGAAGGACTCTGCTTCTTCGTTGTGGAACCGTTTGCAGGAGCAGATATCCAAGCATTCCTTCGATACTCCTGTCTATCGGGTAATTTATTTTCTCGGTTTGATCTCTTTGATTGAAATGTGCAAAGGTCTGGCACGATTTCTGCGAACGATTTCCGTTTCAATTTTGTTGTTTGGTCTCAATTTCGTAGTTCAATATCCCTAATCTTCGTGTTGGAACTTTGGACTCTCTACTCACCCTCAGCGATGATCTTCTAAAGGTAATAAGACCGATTTTGCTTCGGTTCACTTGATATTTGACTATCTATTGGAATTTGTGCGTGGATCTTGAGAAGTTTCGAAATGATCTGATGAGATGTGCAGTCGAACAGCTTCGTCGAAGGGGTTTCTCATAAGATCAGGAGGCAGATCGAAGAATTGGAGAGGGTGTCTGGTGCCGAGAGCAACGCCCTAACAGTTGATGGAGTTCCGGTTGATTCTTATCTCACCAGGTATAGGAATTTCCTGACGTATCTCAATGCTGTTACACTGCGATCGTGTCTGTTACAGACCAAAACATTGTCTTGTTGTGAAGGTTTGTCTGGGATGAAGCTAAGTATCCAACTATGTCACCTTTGAAGGAGATTGTTGATAGTGTTCAGACTCAGGTTATGAAAATTGAGGATGATCTCAAGGTATGGAAGCTTGCCTCTCGTTGTTTCGAAATCGTACCATTTGCTGAGTTTCTCCGATCAGTGCTCTCAAAACGACCCTAGAGTGAGTACCGTAGGAGGGTCCTGTGTAGGCAAGTTGGATCCTAGTTATATATATGTGTAGCATACACAGGTGGTCTCTTACATTTCCTGTATCGATTTGGCTGGCTGGATAACAGAAAAGCTGATGGATGTTATAATATGTAAAAGTTGTGAAGATGTGAGGGTATCTCTTTATTTATTTGAATTTAATTTCTATCTCAAGTCATCTCCCATGGTGTTGGGACTGGTTCGTTAATCTTAAAGATCCATGATTAGCCAAATGATCCGCTCCGTCCAGAAATGAACAATGGAATTTGTTTCTCCACAAGTATTCTTTTGTGGTAGTGTGGTTCTATGCGTGGCTTCTTTATGAAGAGTAGTCCGATGACTTTCTGTTTGTTAATATGTTATGATCCTTTCACAGTTCTAAATATGCTATGGCAATCAAATGTGATTGTTGTGTGTGTATGTATCTGGAACATGTTTTGTCAACAAGTCCGTTGCTCTTATGTCAGGTTCGTTCTGCTGAATATAACAATATCCGCAGTCAACTCAATGCCATTAACCGAAAGCAGAGCGGAAGGTAAAGGTTGGGTTACAGAGCTAGGATTTTATTCTGTTTATTTGAAGGGGAAAAAAGGGAAATTGCTCGAAAACTCCCAACAAGAAAATTGAAGCACATTTCCTCTAAAATCAACATCATCCGTGAAACATTCGATACATGTGACAATGCATAAATTTTGGTAGGAATTTTGTTCTATTATTATTATTACTATTATTATGAAAGAAGTGATTTTTCATTGTGATGTGAATGTTCTCTATATCTCTCTCTTTGCTTATCTTCTATATTCTAAACTGCAATTTGACTGCTCTTCCTCTGTTTCTTTTTTTTTTTCCAGCTTAGCTGTTCGTGACCTGTCGAGCTTGGTGAAGCCAGAAGATATTGTCACATCAGAACATCTAGTGACTGTCCTCGCTGTTGTCCCAAAATATTCTCAAAAAGACTGGTTGTCCTGCTATGAGACATTGACTAACTATGTGGTAATTTATTCTTGTTTTTGCATTTACTGCATAGACAAAAGATGACACTCTCAGTTAGCTGGAGAGTCATTGTAAATAATATGTCCAAACTGTTTCAGGTGCCTAGATCCTCAAAGAAGTTGTTTGAGGACAACGAATATGCCCTCTACACTGTCACTCTCTTTGGTCGTGTTGCAGATAATTTTAGGACAAGTGCCCGTGAAAAAGGGTTCCAAGTGAGTTTTTCCTCTTTTTTTTTTTTTTTCTAATTGAAGTTCCTCGTATTATCCTTTTAGAGGCCAGGTTTCATTCGCATCGGTGCAATGCATCTATTATCTACCCCATGCTATGTTGTGCTTATGATTGAAAGTCTGGAGCATTGAGCATTTCTGTTGAATGGTTGTGCTTATTCACTGCAAATTACGACTCTTGACAGGAATCCCAAAACCAGTGTGCAACTTATGCTGTCCACCTTTCTCTGTTCTCTACCTTTTTCAGACCCGTGATTTCGAGTATAGTCCTGAAGCACAAGAGAGTCGTAAACAAGAGCTAGAAAAGCTGGTTCAGGATCAAGAAAGCATGAGAAGCTCACTTTTGCAATGGTGCTACACTAGTTATGGAGAAGTATATCTCTAGTCGTTTTGCAGCTGTACATGCTTGCAATCGCCGTTCTTTTTTGTTCTCTCACATTATTCGAGATTCTGGTTGGCAGTGTTAATAAATGACCTAGTTTTATGAATGTTTTACCCTTCTGGAAATTCTTTTTCTGATAATTGGTTATTTTTCTGTAGGTTTTCAGCTCATGGATGCATTTCTGTGCTGTGCGTATATTTGCCGAGAGCATTCTGAGATACGGGTTGCCACCAGCCTTCCTGGTAAAATAATATTCCAACCTCTGCTAATAGATAGCTCTCCCAAGCATATGCCTCTCCGACCATCTACTATGTTGTTGTTGTTTTCTCCAGTCATGTGTATTAGCTCCATCAACCAAGGGTGAAAAGAAAGTGCGCTCAATTCTTGAAGGCTCGTGTGATGCTGCAAACAGGTAAAGTAAAAAAAAAAAACTAGCCACATGGTTTGGTTTTAGACATAGGAAACATGGAAGAAGCTTATTATTCTCTATAGATGCCATCAAAATATGCTTCTGACACTGACAATATGGGTCTTGGAGGAGATCTATTTCGCATGGAGAGAAGAGCCGAATTTACAAATCATGAGATCTAGGCCCTCTATTTTTTTCCGAAAGGATTGCGATTCATGCATATATATATATATGAATGGTAATGCAGCACATACTGGAAAGTGGAGGAGGAAGCAGGGGGAGGCATGGCCGGGTTTGGAGGAGGCGATACGGAGGCCTATCCCTACGTATGCTTCACCATCAATCTTGCCTGATCATATTCGGATGGGCCCCTTGGTATGTATGTCTTCATCTCTTCTTCAATTGTTGTGTTCCATATTCTTTTTTTTTTTTTTTTGCATTTTCCCAATATAATGCTCCTTCCAAAATCAACAATAAAACGAACACAGAGATGCTGCTGTAATTATATGTTACTCGAGAAATCATTTTAGTTCAGTTTGATCTTTGTTTTGTCGGCTTTGGATGAGGCGTGTCCCCCTGGCTCCTCCTGTCTGTATCATACTTACTTTTGTGTTGGAAGTCTGAATTAATGAAATAATTTTTGTCATATAATTAATGTCGTGTCGGGTAACTTAATCCAACCGTAACCATGTTGATCCAATTCAACCGTTAACCAACGGAAAACCAACAGTTGTTGCCTCGGTCCAATCTTCCATCTCGATCTTAGGGTAAAGGACAGATAGACAAGTGAGAAAATGATATGATATTATGAACCATAAACATCGAACCATCGATTTGGGTTTAAAAAGAGAGAGAGAAGCCAATACAAAGCCCCAGCGTGATATGAGTTACACAGATGAACTTGGAATAAAAGCATCACATATGTTATCAGGCTTGCTGATTTAAAGAATCAACCCCAAAAAAAAAAAAAAAGTTACCAAAGAGACCAAAGATCATATAATTAAATGTATCCTCCGCTTTTTCTTCTCCCCTCTTCAGGGAGCGGCAAACATCCAAACGGACATAAAGAATTCCACCCTATAAAATCCTAAGATGAGCGGTGTCGTTCAACCGTTTTATCTGCCAACCGGTTTTCCAAGAGTGCTGCAACACAGTCACGGAGGAGTCCTCTATGCAGAACTTATGAGACATTATCGGGCTACACCCGAGAATCCCCGTCAGAAGACACTTGATTGGCAACGGATGCGTGAAAACCCCGACCCGAGTTGAGAACGGGGATGAGGAAGTGGACGAACTCCTCATGTTTATATCACCCATGTCATTGTTGTGATGACTCACTTCCCTTGGTGACATCTCTTCGTCAACCTCGTGATCACCTGTCGTAGTCATCACCTGTAGCCGACTCTTTCCAGATTTCTTCCTCGTAAGGCTTGGACGATGCCTGTGGAGCAACTCCCACTGGGCCGACCCATCTCGTTCGTGGACGGAGGTGGCGAATGTGTGAGGATTCTGTGAGAATCCTTGGGCTTCGTTGTTCTGACTGGCGGAAAATTCTGATCTGAGCTTCTCTTCGAGCCCTAGCACTGCCCCGTTCAAGAACTGAACCATTCGGAATTCCACCAGCCTGATCGATTCCCCGGAAGGAGGAGAGAAATCGGGCTGACATCTTTCGATCAGGCTCACAGTTTCGGGTGTGAAGATTTCCGACTGATGGCAGCCTTCCCAGTCCCCAAGACTCATCTCAGAAAGCGCATCCGAGGACTGCACGTGCTCCTCTGGAAAATTCATCTCCTGCACACAAAGTTCCATGGCAAGGTTTGATCCAGAAATCATTTTAAAAGAAAATCATCAAGCATCACTAATTCACAAAAAGGATTCTAACTATTTCAATTGCAGCAAACGCACGTATGAACTATGGAGCTGCATGAGTTCTTTATCATGCTAAGAAACACAATAAAAACCTTCAAATTTGTGACTGTTTGCACCTCAAATACACAGAAATTGCATACTGTCAGGACCTAAGATACATATTCAACGCAGTTGGCTTCCCGACACTCGTGCTTTCTACAATACCACCATACAGTTCAAAACACCAACCAGTGGTATTACCCCGAGACAAACCATGACTTATAGCATCTAAAGGGACATAGCTGGCTTGAAGCAGATATGTTGCAAGCCAAGTGCTAAGCCGAGCTACATTCTCCTGAGAGAGAAACCTTTTGCAGTACTCTTGCTTAGTTTAATATACAGATGTTGCAAGTGGTGTGGCCTTCAATGGATATCCATGGTGAAATTCTGTAGAGATTGTCAAATCTAACTCTATCGGACTCCCAACTAGCAACCAACAGTGGTTGCTCAAGAACTAGAAGCAACCAGTAGTGATTCAATCTCAATACAAATCGCAGAATTCAAGTTGGTTCAATGTCATTGACGAAGAACATCACGTTAGATTTCCATCCGAGATCAATCCACACGGCCTCTGCATCTTCGAAGAAGCTAGAATTTCGCGGTTTTCCACAACTCGTACTCCGATGCAAAGGGAGATCCGATTGGAGAGAAAGGGGGAAAATACCTGGCAAACAGAAACCGCCATGGATCTAGCTCGGTCGAGAGGGGACGAGTACACGGAGTTGAATCGAACCCCTTGGGAATTGAAGAAGACGGCGAGGGCCCTGGCCTGGCGTTTGCCGTTGGCGGTGAGAGCGGCCACGTGGCACCTTCCTCCGATCAGATCAGGCCTGAGATTGAGATCGCACTCACCGTGGCTGATGAGGTAAACCTCCGTCACTGCGGCGGCGGAGGCTCGATCTTCGTCGGAGGCGACGCGGGGGAAGATAGGAGGCGGGAGAAGCGGAGGAGGAGGAGGAGCGAGGACGTTGTAAGGGTCCCAGACCTTGATGGAGGGGCCGAGGCGAGGGGTACCGAGAGAGGAGAGCTGGGGGGAGAGAGGGGAGGCGGAGGCGTGGCAAGGAAGCATCTCAGGTTCCTGCTCGAGAACCCTCTTCACCAGGTGGTTATCGGTTACTCTTCTGGTGGATCCGCCATGGTCGTCTTCTCCTCCGTCCTCGCTTTCCTCCTCCTCCTCCTCTTCGTCGTCTTCTTCTGCTTCGTCGATTACATGAGCAGAGTGTGAAGACCCCATCTGTTACGTCAAAATGGTTCGAAATGGGGACAATCAATGTAAGAGCAGCCTTTTGTTATATATCCGATAGAACCCAGATGCAAGATCTAATCGATACCTTCCGACCAATCCAGAGGCTTCCGAATCCCCCAAAAGCATCACATATGTTATCAGGCTTGCTGATTTAAAGAATCAACCCCAAAAAAAAAAAAAAAGTTACCAAAGAGACCAAAGATCATATAATTAAATGTATCCTCCGCTTTTTCTTCTCCCCTCTTCAGGGAGCGGCAAACATCCAAACGGACATAAAGAATTCCACCCTATAAAATCCTAAGATGAGCGGTGTCGTTCAACCGTTTTATCTGCCAACCGGTTTTCCAAGAGTGCTGCAACACAGTCACGGAGGAGTCCTCTATGCAGAACTTATGAGACATTATCGTGGTACTATTATTCTACCAGCTCGTTTTGAACCGGTTCGGGGCAAAATAACCGATTATTCAGAAAATTGGTTATTCGAGCATCAACGATGCAATACCAAATTTGGTGACGACGGATTGTTCGAATATCATATTCGTTTTTGAATTAACCAACCGACCAGACATGATACGTTCGTTATTGCCTTTGTAAAACATTAAATTAAAAAAAAAAAGACACGGCGTCGGCGTATCAAATCAAGATGACGGAAAAGCGGCGGCGGCGATCTTGAAGGAAGTGATGCCACCGTCGACGACCAAGTTGTGTCCGGTGATGTAACTTCCGTCTTCCGACGCTAAGTACAGCGCCGCCTTTGCCACGTCTCTTTCCTCGCAGTCCCTTCCTCCGAATTCTCCGTCCCCTCTCATCGCCGTAAGTATCTCATCCATCGTCGCCTTCGGAAAAAGTCGCCGGAAATAATCCACCGTTAACGGAGTCGCCACCGCTGCCGGCGATATGCAGTTGATACGGACTCCGTATTGACTCAGCTCACTCGCCGCCGATCTCACTATTCCCGGGATTGTGAATTTTGAGATTGCGTATGGATGTGGAGCCAATCCACCCATTACTCCTGCACTCTTTTTTGTATTAGGAATTATTTATTTGGTTAATAATCGAATAACGAAAACGATGTTAAATTAAATAATAATAATCCTAACCAAATCAAATCTCGTATAAAATGGAATGATTATGATTTTATTAAAATAAAAAATAAAAAAATCCAATCCTAGACCAAACCAATTTTAAAATAATGTAAAAAAACGAAAAAAATCTATAATGAGTATTTTGTCAATGAAAAATGAGTATTTTGTCAATGAAAATTAAAATTGAATCGAATCCAATTTCATTGTAAAAATCGAACAATAATCTTTTTAAAAATAAAAAAAATCGAAATATAATAAAATTTGACCCAAAACCCAAATAAATCAACTGTATAATCCAAATCTATTTAAAAAATAAATTGGGAGAGATGAATTTTTAGTTAATAACCGAATAATCAAAACGAAATGCATATCTATGACCGAGTCGAATGAGAAGTAAAATTGAATGGTTATAATTTTTCTAAAATTAAAAAACTCAAATAGACACTAAAACCGAATAAAAAAACAAACAAACTATAAATTTCTTTTAAAAAAATAAATATTTTTATTATAATCAAATCGAACCAAATCCTAATTGTTATATTTTTTAAAATCTAAATAATCGAACCTCAATACTACACAAGCACAATTATATATGTGTGTGTGTGTGTGAAAATTTGTATTTGGGTACTGACCGGCGACACTAGACGTGCACAAGATACAACCGGACTTCGCCGGAATCATGACCTTGGCGGCGTGTTTGACGCCGGCGACGACTCCAACAACGTTTATCTTCATCACCTTCTCGAAGTCGGACATGTCCATCTCCGATATGCTCGCCGGCCTAATGGGTCCCACGATCCCGGCGTTGTTGTACATTACGTCCAACCTCCCGTGCCGGGCCACCGTCGCCTCCACGGCTCCGGCCACGTCGGCCTCCACCGTAACGTCGCACCTCACGAACTCCGCCGAGGGCCCCAGCTCTGTCGCGGCCTTGGCCCCAGGGTCGGCATCCAAGTCGGCGATCACGACTCGGGCTCCGTGGCGGGGGGGG